AACAAACAAAATTACTTCGAAAAGTGGCATATCTTTAGAGGTTGGAAGCATGGGTGTAAGGTTTGTGACGAATGCAACCATCATTCACATCTATATTGCAAAACATGCAAAAAAGTAGCGGATGGCATATATAAGCGATGTGAATGCGATAATTCTCGAATGATTAATGTTAAGTCGCCCCATAAGGGCTGTCAGAATTAACGTTATACATAATTCCATGTAACAAAGATATTCGTCATAATAAATTTCGCATAAAATTTATCTATCACTTTGCCTTATCATGCATAACTTATTTGTGAGACGGCGACACAAGCAGAAATTGCCATTTTTCATTTATTGGAATTAGCGTACCCTAACCAAAGTCGGTCAATTAGCTCATGCCACATATATTTTTGATTTGCGGGGACCGAAACCTTATCTGGCCTAAATTCACACAATGTATATCCCTTGACATGTTTTAAAGTCTTATTTTTAGCAACTCGTGATGCATACATTTATATCAGATATGAGTGCGTGAGAATGAAAACCTGTAACTGATCATAGTAAATCATTATAATCAGTTCCAGGTTTTTATTCTCACGCACTCATATAATCTATAGCGATAGAAATTCAAAGGTCTGCATGATTTTTAGTTTGTAATACTCCTTTTTGGAATTTTGACAGATGACTTTTTTTACGCGACAAGGTTTTTTTGTACGCGATTTTGTAAAACGCGATAAAAATTCCAATTATAAAACCCTCTTGCGCTCAACATATCACAAACTCTTAAAATAAGTATGTATATGCCCTTGAAAGATAAAACATTAAACGCCATAAATAGAAAAGATCATTATCTTAGACTTCATTCTACAAAAAATTCCACAAGTCCAGATTCTTCAGAATCAGTCGCTAGTGCACTAGCTAAATTCTTTTGTATCTATGACCCACGTTTAATGACAAGTTGTGATTTTCTTATCTGGCGAACTCACAATCAAGTTTGTTTGCCCGTTAAAGACCGCCAGGAGGAAATCCCTTTATTTATTAATTTTTTACGAAAATATAAACATGAATGGTCAGAAGAGGAAGTAAATAATATCAAGAAGGTACTTATTTTATATTTTATTTTTATTTTATTTCATCAAGTGATTATATTCTAGAGTAACTTCTATCGCTCTACAGTATTATTATATACATGCTAGACGGTTAGAAGTTATTCTTATTTCTCATTTGCAACGGTCATTTATGTCGCTTGCTCTCGTTTGCAATGTTCATTTATATCGCCTGCTCTCGTTTGTAACGTTCATTTATGTCGCTTGCAATTTATGCTCTGAAGATGTTTTATTAGAGCTTTTTTTTGTGAGCTACCCTAAATTCTTTACTAATATATAAATTTTTTATATATTATAAGCTAGAGAAGAATTGTGATATAGAAAAATTTTTTCAACTTCGTCTGGTAGATCCTCGTGCATTTGTTAATTGGTGCGAAGATGAATACAACACAACTCTTGAGCGGAAGAAACTTCTACCAAACAAACTAGTTGGAGGTGATATAAAAAGACAAGAAACATTTAAAAAATACATGTATTTGCAGGTAATACAGATTTGGGTATATATTTTTCATTTTAACTGTTACTTAAAATTTACATTTTTAGACAAGTCCGTCGAAGTGGATAATTACTCATAATAATGAACCCATAGATATTGGAAGAGCATTTGCTAGGACTATTGTTTGGGATGAGATTAAGATGCTTGAATATGATAATCCAACATTATCGTTTATAATAGATTTAACTCAACCGCAGAAAAAATTCCGACATGTGGTTTCTTATCCTATATTTGAAGAAG